GTTCCCCTTCCCTCCCCACCCACCCTCTCCTCTGCTCCTCTCCTCTGCTCCTCTCCGTGCTTGCTCCCTGCCCTGTCCCCTCCTTCTTCTGCCCGTGCCTCTACTTTACCCTGCACCACCTTTCTCCCCCACACTGTCTGCCCCCACCTCTGAGACCAGAACCTTCTACCTCACCCCACTGCCCTCCCCACATCCCATCACCCTTTTTTTTGCCCCCCAGCACCCTGCCCACTCCCATGTCTCCCTGCCCAGGTGTCACCTAAGCCACAAGGCCAAGGTGCAGGGGTTGCACGTCGGGGTCCCCTGAGGCTGGGAGGGAGGAGCACAGTTATGCACCCTACTTCCAAACTAGTGGGGTCTGCCAGGGCTCCCTTCCCTGTGCCTTGAGAACAACCCCAGCACTGATACCCCTTGCATTCTGGGTTAAGTGGTCTCTGTCCCGCAGTGAGTGGGTGATGCCAGCTGGGCTCCGTGTGCTGAGGAGCAGGGAGATGGATCGTGGTGTCAGCCTGGTGAACCCCTATGCCAGCGTCAACATCCCACGGGACCAGTTCCAGCAAAGCTTCATCACTCACTACCTGAAGGACGAGCCCACCGTCATCGCCAACCCTGCCGCTGTGCCCACCTATGGTGCAGAGGAGCAGGTGGACCCCGTTGCCAGCTGGAACAGCCCAACCATTTCCACGGAGAAGTCCTGGTCCCGTCCCTACAACCCCTATGCCAGCATGAGGATGCCCAATGGGGACTCGCCCGACACCTTCTACACTGTCACCCTCGACAAGCCACCCAAGGGCCAGGAGCTGGAGACCCGCGGGGTATGTGGCTGCTGCAAGTGCTTCCCCTGCTGCAGAAAGTGCTGCTGTGTCATCTCCTGAAGGCCCTCACTGACTGTGGCCCTGCAGGGACGTGGCTGCCCAGCCTGGGCATCCCGGGGAGACAGGACGTGGCCTCAGCTGAATTCTGCCGTTGCTTTTCACCCATGAGCTCCACAGCCAGATACGCCAGTGATGGGCGCCTGCCAGGTCCTGCCAGCCCATTGTGGGTGATGGTGGGGGAAGGACAAGCTTCCCCTGCCCCACTGAGGCCCGGGAGCCTTGAGGATGATGTATGCCAACGCAGATGCCACCAAGAAGTGCCTACACTGGGGCTGGGGCACTGCTTTGAGCCTGTGATCCTGAACACTGACCCTGCTAGGCTGGGAAACCTCCAGTGCTGGGGAAGGTGCAGTCGTTGCCTGGCCAGGGTGCAGGTTTGGGTGATGGCAGCCTTCTGTGCGTGGCAGGGGAGGACATCATTGTCACTGTCTTGGAGCTGTGGAGACGAGCCAGAGATGTGTCACCAGCCGGGATGGGGCCCCAACCTCCCCAGAACTGAGTGGTCCCCCCCACCCACAGCACCATGGGGCTGCTGCAGCGCCCTGCACCAGGCTCTGGCTGGGGACCAGTCCTCCTTGCTACACCACCTGAGGGACAGAGGGAAGGAGGCAGGAAGGACAGATGGACGAAATGTGACAGAGTGGCATGGGTGTGGGTGTTAATGTCCCAGTGCCAGGAACTGTTGCGTTTCTCCTGCCAGACTTGTGTGGCACTGGGCACAACCCCCCTCCCCATCTGCATCCCAGCTTGGGACTCTGGCCATGTTGCGGTCTGGTCCAGTGCCGAGGGCTGGCTCAGCTCCAGCAGTGGGGTGGCACTGGGGCACCCTGTTTGGGATGTAGAATCCCCATCATCGTTCTATGACCTCCCTGGACATGGAGGCAGGCGAATGAGGAGCCCGCTGGCCTCTTGGCAGTGAGC